TCAGTGAATTTATGAATATCAATAGAAGTAGGATTCTCACTTTCTCCATCTCATTGACAAACAATGGTCAGAAATGAGATGAGATTCTTGTAATATGATTTGAAGTTTTGCATTTTATTAAGAAGAGAAGTTTTAGGACATGGCTTTTGGAAGCTCTATGCTGTTTTCCAGTATCTTGTTACATCAATTCCTATTATGTGTTAACTCTGATTAAATGATAACCAATATATTCAAGATGCCAAGTCATTGGTGACCCAACTTCTCTATCTTAATACTAAATAAATGTATCGAGTTTCCTCAAGAGTGTATTTAAATAATGATCTTGAAATCACCAAAGACTCTAGTCACCATATGACTACCTGTACTTAGTTCAAAATGACTACACAATTTTCAACATCCACATGTCTTTCTTCCTGGCATTTCTTGGAAGATGAGAGAAAAACTTGTTCATTGCCCTCATCTCCTCTTTTTAAAATCACACCTCTTCCAGAAATACGAATTTTCCCACGAAGGCCCACCTGCTTCGGCAGTTATTGGGAAGTCAGCACCTGATGAGAAGATGAGAAAGCATGGAGGGCACGCTTGTAACCTGGGCTATTTTTGTTCTTCCCTCTGCTCACTACAACCAGAAGAGAATGCCTTGTTGAAACAAGACCAGGTAATTTCAGGAAAACAGCTTCATTTCAGCAGTCGTAATGTCATATTTTTTAAAGAACTGACTTTGCACATACATATAAATATGTATTTGTGTGCATGTTTATGTGCATGTGCACATATGAAGCAATTTTTATGGAAAACTGGTTTGGGGAAAATTGTAATAGGTTTTGTTTAGGAATACAAATTCTTACAAATTGGTAGCCAGTGGGCTGAAATAGTCACAGAACTTGGCGTAATTTGTTCTGCAAGGTGCTTTCTTATTGTTGTTATTATTTTCTTAACCTTCAGAAGTTAGGAGGTTTCACATGGAATTTCAGATTTCCAGTTTCTCCTGAAAAAATCAGGAGACACTGTAAGAAATTTGTGTGCAGTTCAAGCACTGGTGACACTGCGATTTTAAACTACAAATAGCAACAATTTCAAGGCTCCATCCTGCCTGATGCTTCTCTTCCGTATCGAATGGAGGAAGCGGTAGGCACTGAAATGCTTACCCAGAATGCTCCCTGGCTTAATGGGGCATTACATGCCATCTCATTCCACCTGTAATTTCCCCCCAATTTCTCTGTTATATCAATTTTCCCTTCATAAAGTTTTTCACATTTGGGCCTATTTTTCTCCTCTCCTTGTTATGACTTTTATCCAGGACATGTTTCCTCACTTGGGGTTCCTGAATTGGTTTCTGTCGTAGCCATCACCATGCCTGCTGCCTAGCCTGGCCTCTGCCTGCCCCTGCCATTCTGCAGACTAGTTAGGGATTCATATGCCCTCAGCATGCTTCAGTCCTGGGTCCCACCCTTGCTATGCCAGTCTGTTGTCCCTCTGATTCTGTGTTAACTACAGGAAGAGCTGGCCAGGGCACCCTGACCAGAACACAGCAGATGGCCTCTGATGACTCTGCTTTCAGCACTCCTCCGGCCACCTGTGCAAATAGATGGGCACCACCTTCAAGACTGGCCTTTAGACCACCTCGGTCCAAATTGCACAAGATAGCTCATCTTGCCTGCTCCATCTTTCAAAACCACATTTTGTTTCTCTGGTTGTCTTAAAACAGGTTTTCTCTGAGCATGATCCTTGGACATCTGACTTCAGAGTTACCTGTCTTGCTTCTTAAGCATTTTTATTCCTGGGCTCCTGAGTTCCTTAAGTTGGGACGTAGGAATGTGATAGATCTAAAGCCTGATCATCTAGAGTTTAAAGGTAGCATGACTCACAGCAATGGAGGACCGCCTGATGCCTTGATAGACTGTGAAACAGGATGCAATTACCTGGAGGTGAGTGCATTTCGGGTCTGCGGTGTGTTTCCCAAACACTATTTGCCCTAATTGTGGATAATAGCTCTGGGTGTGCTGTAACCAGCTCTCTGGCACCCTTGCTGAAGCCATCGCCCCCATGACCCAGCGGATGCAAAGTGGAAGGCAGTCAGGGCCTTGCCTTTCAGGCAAAAGCAAGCCAATAAGATAGTAAACTCCTCCAGTGCAGGACTGTTCTTTCTCCTTTTTTCCTGCCCTCTCGTGCCTCAGCTCCAGGAACATGTGGCTCACAATGCTGAGTCGCATTGGACAAATGGGGTGAATACCCGAAATATTATAAAGGACATTAGCATCCAGGTTGGCCATGATGGTGATGCACACCCTGAGGTCCTCACTGGGTTCCTCCAGTGGGTGTTTTTCCTTCACCTCTCGTCAGCGAGGTGTTGCTACGGTTCTCTACATTTAACCATGGGAGTGCTCAGCTAGAGTTGCAGAGGAAGGAAAGAGACATTGTGACATGAGAAGCAACTACTTTCGTCATTCGTGAAAAGCATTGGAACAAATTTAAGCCATCTATTTTACTTTTTTTTTTTTTTTGAGGGTGGGGAAGTTGATTAATAACCATTGGAAAAATCAATGTGACAGAGTAGTTTAAGGAAAAGAATATAATTTGGAGCTGGAAGACCTGGGGTCCAGATTCAGTTTGCCAAATTTGAGGAACATCCAAAGTCTTTCTGAAACTATAAAATGGGAACAATGTTACTGCATATCAAGCTGTTGTAGGGACTAAATGATGAAATTTATATAAAATACTATAAAAATACAGAGGACTCTTACTATTAATAATTGCTCCAAATGTGAATGAGGGTCTTAAAAAATATAACTATATTATTTTAAATCATGCTTTAAAGAGGGGACACACAGAAATAATGAAATCTCATCTCCACAATCACACAAACAGATGTCACCAGGCCTCGCTGAGGACTGTGAGCTGCCAGAAGCTCAGCAAAATGCCAGCCACAGCCCGTTAGCAAGCAGCTGAGCTGAGATTTGAAAACCACACCTGCCTAGCTTCTATTGCTCTACTCTTTCCAATGCGCCAGTTTGCCTTTAAAAATAAATAAGACAACAGGTATACTTTTTCTTAACATTAAAAAGAGAGATTTTTGTTTGAATGCTAGCTCATTCTCCAGATGATTCCCTATGAAGATGTTACTGTTGCACAGGTTGATGTCATGACTCAGCATAACATCAGCACACATTGGCAATGCGGGCGAGTTATTACTATTATTGTTTTGGTGTTGTAGAAGTTCCTTGACATATTTGTTAAAGTCTCCCATGACCTGATAATACAATTTTGAGGAATGACAACTACTTAGGAGCTATTTCTTTACGATTGAATACACTCATGAAATAATGTAAAAGATACACCTATTTCAATAAAATATCAAGTCAATTTACTTTAAGAAACATCTAGAATCTGGTTCAATGAAATATGTTAAAATATGTTAAAACATCTAGAATCTGGTTCCTTTTATGAAATATGTTAAACATAATTTGAACGTAGCTTAAAGGAAGTGTCCAAAGGGATAAGGCAGGTCACCTGGGGAAATTAGCTTTTATAGATCACAAAAACTTAATGCCGAGACCGACTTAGTGAACACAATTTTTAAAAAAAGAAAATACTTCAGTAAACAATTGACTGTTCTATCAATTCCACCACTGTTTCTATATGAGACTGTAAAGTGGATTAATTATAGCAAAAATAAATAATGTAAACATCACTGCCAATAGTGGTGCCCAACACCTTTGTCTTCATGGGTATGGAGTTCACAGGAAATGCAAAAGGAAATCTTTGATCCAAGTTCAATTTTTAATTTCACAGTGCTGTTTTTTTAAGTGTTCTATTTAAAAATATCTTAATAAAGAGAAGCCAGAGAATTTTATTGCCTGTGGCTTTTTGAAGGAAATGATTCTGAGAATACTTCATGTCTGCATCAACTTTCATCCTGAAACAGAATCTCTAGCAGAGAGGAGCTCCATCTACTAATTGAGATTAGTGGGGCATGGGCAGGTCACGCCCTGCAAGTAATTTAACATCTTTTCTTTGAAACATTGTGTAAGGTCGTGGTTAAACTCAGATGCTATGGAGTCACACTCTCTGGGATCGAATTCAGCTCTGTCACGCTTACAATCTTGTCATCTTACTTCAGCCCTTTGTGATTCTGTTTTCTCCTCTGAAAATTAGGAATAATTACTATTGTATTAGGCTGTTGTGATGACTCAGCATACTATCAGCACACATTTGCAACGAGGGCCATGCTATTACTATTATTGCTTTGATGTTGTAGAACTTCCTTTGACGTCTATGTTAAAGTCTCCCATGATCTGAGAATACAATTTTGAGGAATGACAACTACTTAAGAGTTGTTACTTTACAATTGAATACATTTATGAAATAATGCAAAAGATACACCTATTTCAATAAAATATCAAGTCAATTTACTTTAAGAAACGTTAAGTGTTCATAAAATGAAAAGATGACGAAATGAAACCTTCTAGTAAATAATCACGAGCTTGTTCGTGTTTTCAAAAGCGCACGAAGGCGCACTGTCCGAGGAGAACGCATCGATCTGTGTGTATTTCCAGCAGCGCCTCACGCGCACGGTGCCGCGGCCGCTCTCCCCGGGGAGGTGGCCCTTTAATTGCAGTGAATGGCGATGCTATTTGCAGACATCACTTCCTACAGCAGCCCTCCTTGCTGTGATTATTACTTAGAAAATACTTGTCCTCAATGATTTAGTCTCCTTGGCTAAAGGAGAAAAACCTACAGCACAACCAGAACCTCACAGATAATCTGAGCTGAAAATGCGTATTCTCTCCCAGCAAAACACTGTTTATGCGGCAGAGGGAACAAAAGCTCCTCAGTGCTAACCACCTTCACACGCCACCCAGCCCAGGAGAAAACTTAAAAAAAGCAGAAGCACAAACATTGTTTTAATCGCCCTGCACTCATTCCGTCTCCCACATGATCTCTTATAAACAAAATCACAAGTTCCACATTCGGAGAAAATCAACAGCAAGAGGACTTACCTTCCTTCAACCAAGAAATATTATTTTTATCATTTTCAAAATGCTCAGCTGCTCTTACTTTTATCTTTTCCAGCTCAGTTTCTGACATCTAAGTGGAAACACAATTTGTGATAAAAAAAATTTTTAAGAACCCAAATTTGTGACATTGAGCTTTATATTTAGAGACTAATGCCATATTATAGGAAAGTGTTTTCCCTATAGTTTTCCAGTTCACTGCCTTATGTTGTCTTACATTTTATCCATCTGTAATATTTTAAAATATTAATATTGAAAACTAAACTTTATATGATATTTCATTTTTCAGCAATAGAGTGCTATAAGATTTTATAATTTATGAATATTAAAGAATAACATTAATGGCTGGCCACAGATTTGTAAAAAACAAACATTCTGTTGCTATTTTCATCTTTTTAATAATCTATAGAAGAGCATGTTGCAAAGTGATATACAGAGATATGCATAATAATAAAACATAAAAGCACATTTTCACCAATTTATTGGGTTGAATGAGAGCCCTATGGGCTGAGACAGGCCTGGGGCTCTGGAAGGTGAGGCAATCTGCCCTGGACCCCCCTGCACCCCACTTCCTGACCTCTCTAGGAGGGACTGGCTGACCTTGCTCCGGCTCCTGCGGTCTTACCTGGGATCCGGGGGGAGGCCCAGGGGCCAGGCAGGGTGCGAGGCGCTGGGCAGCCTTCTCCGTGCCTCCTGACGCCCAGCATTCCTCTCCCAGCCAGAGTGAGCAGGGAAGCAAAGCTCTCCCTGCTGGTGGTGCTACGATTGTAACACTGCCAAAAGCATCCAACTTGTGGCTGAGAGCTTTTTTAAGGTCATGCAAAGCCTGTGGTTCACAGCGAGAGCCGCTCCGGCCAGCACTGATTGCAAGGACACTCCACCAATGTGGGAACAATGAGCATTCCCAAATGCCGTGCTTCACCCCTTCCTCCCGCACACGCCACACTCACAGTCAGAGGGCGAGGAAGAGTGTACAGACAAGACTTGGGTTAGAGGAAAAGAGAGTAAAACCTCTAAAGCTTTATTCCTTAGAAGTTCTTCCTGCAGCAGACAAATTGAAAAACAGGTTTTCCTAACGTTGAATAGGAAACAAGAAACAGATTGGGTTTTTGGAGGGTCTGCAGATGTTCCAAAAGGCTGTGAAATGACATTTCAAAGAGGTGTGGGCATTCGATGCTCAGTCAAAGCTAACTCTGTTTTCCATCCACAGAGGTTGACGCAGAAGCACAGCCCTGGGGCGCCGTGCTGAGGAGGACCATGCATCCCGTTCCCCCCAGGAGTGGCATTCCTGGTTGGGGCCCACAGTGGTTTCCCTGCCAGTGTTCACCCAGCAGCTGTCTGTTTTCTCATCACCTGGCACCCATTTCACCTTGTTTCCCAACTTCATTTCTTGTGCTTTGCTCCATTTCATTGTTTTAAAAACTACCTTGATCAGCCAATTTCCATGACTTTCAGTTTATCCTATGATCAATAAGGTAACCTCCAGATTCCTTCGACAGCTAAGGAAGACCTTGAAGGGTTAGATTTTATAACATGACTAGAGGCCAGATGAACAAAGATTCATGCAAGCACGAGCCTTCCTTCCCCTGGCTGCTGACACCGCCTTTGCTCTGGCCAGAGCTGCCTTTCTGCCTTCTTATGCTACCCAGAGGCCTGGAGTGGCTGGGACAGTGCAGAATGCCTGCATCGCCAACATGATGGCTATGCAAGCATCCCACCCCACCCCTGGCTGCTTGGCACCTGTGTACGCAAATTAACCCACCATATTTGTTGAGTTAATTTGAATACTCACTCCTGATTGGCTGGTGGGTGTCACAAAGGTATGGTTAATTTGCATCTTACTCTTTTATTAGTGTAGATTTTCAAAATGTGGCTAAAAGCAAAGCTTCCTCCGAGGTCCCTATTCTTTTTCTCCAACCTCATTGTAATGCTGCCAGTCCCTGAACCTGCCTGCTTCTGTTAGTAACATCCCAGAGATGCTTCCTCAGAATCTCACCTCCAGCCCCTGTGCCTGAGCCTCTGCGCTTTGCTCCATGTAAGCCCACCCCATCTCTATGACAAGACTCTACCCCTGAGGACAGCCCTACCCCCACGTTTCAGGCTTCTTGCTCAGGGTGTGGCACGATCACATAAGGATTAATGACGGCTAGATAAACAAAACCAGAAGATCGAACACCACTGGTGCCGTCCTTTTCCCAAAGTGGTGGCATGCCTGACTGGCACAGAAATGGTTCCAGGCCAGGAGCCGCCATTGGGGACAGCTCTGTCCCTCCGTCCAGGTGAGCTGTTTGAATTCCCTCCTGGGCGGAAGTAACACTGTAATTAGCCTCGATTTTAAGTCTTGGTTCAGTAATGTGAGCTTAGCACAAATGCCTCCATTTTGGGCCCGTTATTTCCTTTTTTATCAGAGTGTGTGACATTACTTAAAATTTCTGTATGGAATTTTCTTTCATTTTAAAGTGCACCTTTTTTTTTTTAAATTTAGATAATTAACTTTAAATTCTATTCCTGTCTTTGTAATCCTTATGAGAGCTGAAGATTTAAGCATTATATTCAATGTTTTCATGTACCTCATCAATAAAGATAAGACTAAACTCCAAGATAAACTGTATGCCACTGGCACCTTTATTGACATCGCATTAAGTACATTCCATACAAATGCCAGCCTTTAAACCAATTACTCATTTGCTTAGAGATGTACTTGGACCATAAAATTCTCCATCTGGATGATAGAGTCTGGACTGGGACTTGGAATGAATGAGCTAAACCACAGTTGATGATAAGAAGTAAGGAGAAACCAAGACCAGGCAGAGCAGACTGAGAAACAAAAGATTGTCCAAAACGAAGCTCTGAAGTCCCAGGCTAAATCATGCAGACCAGAGTGCAGTCTCCAGGCTCAGGTTTCTTGATAAACTCTGTTTTTGTTGTCTTGTCTAAATAAAGACAGTTTGAATATTCTCTTATTTTATAACTTTATGCTTTTTATTTTGGCTCATGCATCCATATATCTAGTTCCTACTCAAAATCTGATCCAGAGATAAAAGCTTCAGGGGAAGACAACTTTTGCCAAGAGAAAAACCTGCAAGATCATCATCTAGTTTATCTTTCTGTTAAAATAAAATGGAATGATTGAAGCTAGAGACTTCTCTAAGAAACAAATAATTATGTGCTGTCATTAGTCTTTATTTCCTCCGAAATCACCACAGTCACTTGCTGTTGATTATAAAACAATGAAGTTATATTATGATGTAACAATATAATATTAATCAATGTGTAGAGAAAGTCATCAACTAGATGGAGCGACTTGAGGACTGTAATTTGTAGAGTAGAGTTGTCAGAGGACATGGTGTGGGAAGCTGGACTCCTTTCAAAGTCTGTTTATGCTACAGAGCTGCATCTCTGTATTAGTATAGTTATTTATACTAACGATCAATGTATGCCATTAACTATTTGCATTTAAAATATTCTTTAGGGGATTTTGTGGCCTTGATAAAAAAATATGCATGGAATAAATAACAATTGGCCCAAAATATCAGAGGTAAAGCAAATACAACAAATCACACAAGCTTTGCCAGGGGAAGGTCACAACTAACCCCACAGACCTACAAATTATGGGACTCATTAGTTGCTAGAAATCATCAAATGTTCAGCTTTAAGATATAATACTCAGGGATATAAAATGAATTAAGTTTTATACTTGTTTCATGTCAGATCATTAACAAAGAGCTTCAAATTATTTTTATACTGTATAAAGCTGCTTTTACTGAGAGACCTTGGTTGGCATTGAATAAAGATCCTTTCGAATAAAGAGGTAATATGCACATTGATCATCACTTCAACACACAAGATGGCTGTCCCCATGTGGTTAAAGATGGCTGCCCCCAGGTGGAAACAAGATGGCCAGCAGGGGAGGGCAGTTGGTGGCAACCAGGCCTTCAGGGGAAAACAATTGGGTGAAACCAGGCCTGCAGGGGAGGTTTGTGCAGGGGTGACCAGGCCAATAAGGGAGGGCAGTTAGGGGCAATCAGGCCGGCAGGGGAGCAGTTAGGCATCTATCAGGCTGGCAGGATAGTGGTTAGGGGGTGATCAGGCTGGTAGGCCGAAGTGGTTAGTGTAGTAGCAATCAGGCAGGCAGGCGAGCGGTTGTGAGCCAGCAGTCCTGGATTGTGAGAGAGATGTCTGACTGTCTGGGCCTAAATGGGCAGTCAGACATCCCTCGAGTGGTCTCAGATTGGAGACGATGCAGGTTGGGCTGAGGGACACCCCCCCTTCCCGCCCCACGCACCAGGCCTCTAGTATAAGAATAAATATGTGAATGACACTTGCTAGGAGGTTTATCATGAAAATTTTGGGTTCTTCAGATCATAATATGCACTATTAACTAAGTATAATATTGTTACACTTCATGTAAAATATAATAATTTTATAATGGTATCATTCCACTTATATACTCTCTTCTTTGTACTATTATTTTTAAAAGTTGTACAACTACAAATGTTATAATTTGTTAGGCAATGTATGTTGTGTGTATTTAAATAGCAGTGTCTTTTAAAGTAATTACTTTAGAGGCCTGGGACATGAAATTTCATGCACTGGAGGGGGTGTTCCCTCAGCCTGGCCTGCCTCCTCTCTCAGTCCAGGAGTCCTCAGGAGCAGGAGGCAACCCATATTTTTAAAAAATGTTTACCCCCATCTTACTATTTTTAGTTCTCTTTAATTCCTTCTGGTAGACTTGGATTGTCATTTGATTTCATTCTTTTTCAGTCTAAAGAAATTTCTTCTTTTTAAAAAAATAATTTTATTGTTGGAAGTACTACAGTTATTTCCACTCCCTCTCATTGACCCCCTCTATCCTCCTCCTGCTCCAGCCCCTCAGGCCTTCACTGCATGACTGTCTATATCCGTGGGTCATGCATATGTGCATACAAATTTCCTGGTTAATCTCTGCACCCCCTATCCCACCTTCCCTCTGAGATTCCTCAGTCTGTTCTATGTTTCTATGTCTCTGGGTCTATTTTGTTCATCAGTTTATTTTGTTCATTAGACTTCACACATGAGTGAGATCATGTAATTCTTATCTTTCTCTATATTTTCATTCCCTCAACTCTCCTAAGACCCATAACAGGAGTTCAGTGCAGTCCCTGCTGTGGGAGTCCTTCGCATTTAAAATATTCTTTGGAGGATTCTCTCATCATTGATGTTTCTACTTCTCCCTCCCTCTCCCTTCCTCAATAAAAATATATATATTTAAAAACATCTTATATAATAAATAAGTAATATGCAAATTGACCATCACTCCAACACACAAGATGGCCAACCCCATGTGGTCAAAGATGGCAGCCCCCATGTGGACACAAGAAGGACGCCTGGCAGGGGAGGGCTGGCAGGGAGGGCAGTTGTGGCTCTAGAGGAGGGCAGTTGGCAGGGACCAGGCCTGCAAGGGAGGCCAGTTGGGGGTGATCAATCCTGCAGGGGAGGGAAGATAGGGGTGACCAGGTCTGCAGAGAAGGGAAGTTGGGGGCAAAAAGGCTGGCAAGGGAGTAGTTAGACATCAATCAGGCTGGCATGGAAGTGTTTAGGGTGATCAGGCTGGCAGACAGAAGTGGTTAGGGAAATCAGGAAGGGAGGCAGGTGAACAGTTGAGAATCAAAAGTCCTGGATTGTGAGAGGGATGTCCCAGATTGGAGAGGGTGCAGGCTGGGCTGAGGGAGACCCTTCCACCCCCATGTATAAATTTAGTGCACCAGGCCTCTAGTCTATACATATAAAAGCCCAGGAACTGGAATGGTGGAATGACCAGAACGACCAGTGGCTATGATGCATATTATGGCAGCCAACTAGCCTGACCCAGGCTTCGCTTGGCCTTCTGCTGCCCCCTCCCCTCTGATAATCCCAGGTGAGTT